TGCTCATGTTAATGAGTCGGTAGTTAATGTGGAGCATCTCATCTGTTTTTGATGTTATGAGTATTATTTATTACATGCAGGCCTGTAGCCAGGGGGTGGGGTTCGATGGTTGGGCCAAAATATCTTTTAAAATCATGCAATTTCTCACCATTCTGAGCACTTTATAAGTGATTTGGGCCATTTTTGAACCAAAATTGTAAAAAACGAACCCCCCTGGAATTTTTCAAAAAGTGAACCCCCCTTGGCAAATCCTGGCTACGGGCCTGAACATGTGTATGAACAATTTTGGGGTGCCAGTTTGTGATAATGATATTTGAATGGTAGGTCTAGGGGAGAAGACATTGTTTATCTTCACATTAGATCATGGTTTGGGATAGTTGGGTTTGTTTTCCTTATGACTGGTGTACTCTTAGATGTTTTTTTCTTGCTGTGTTCTATAAGAATTTTTGTTAGTTTCCCTTTGGCATTTGTGTGAACTTATTCATATACATAATGCTTTATGACAACGACAATAGACAATGACTTTTAAATAACAAAGCAACTTCTGACAAATTACTTAAGAACATTAAGAATGTGAGTTATGTCAATAACCTACAATATATAAGTGTAATACAATATATCTACAATAGCTTTAAGCTACAAGTGCAGGTACGTCTTTATAGAAAGGATATGAAAAGAGTAAATGCTGTTGTAATAGAATTCTCTGTGAAGTCATACAATACTGTAATGTTCATAATGATGTTACACCTGGGAGCTTCTTAGAATTATGTCTTACAGGTGCAGTCATCGGTCAATGACTTTACAAGCAGTCATAGATCAATGACTTCACAGAGTAGTCATATGTCAATGACTTCACAGAGCAGTCATATGTCAATGACTTTACAAAGCAGTCATATGTCAATGACTTTACAAGCAGTCATAGGTCAATGACTTCTCAAAGCAGTCATAAATTCGAGTCAAAGTAAGACGTACCATTCTATACTTAAGGTCAGGGTGCATGTTCAGAGTTTTGCTGCAACCCTCAATTGAGTCACATGTTATTTTTCAAATTTGAATCACTCCTTCCCCACAATGTCTACATCTCTCACTTTTGCAAAACAAGTATATCAATGTACTTAGAAAAGAATGAGAAGAAAAATGTTTTGATGAAATGTATAAAAAAAGAAAATTCAGTGAAAAATTCGAAAATTTTCTGAATTTTTTTTCATTGAATTTTCTCTTTTTTATTCATTTTACAAAACAAATCTTCTCACCAGTCTTTTCTTGGAACATACGTGCACTCTTTGTGCAAAACTGGAAGATGTAGACAATCTGGGGAAGGAGTGATTTCTAAAAAACAACAACAACATGTGACTCAATTGAGGAATGCAGAAAAATTCCGAAAATGCACCCTGGCTGGAATAAATAATGACAGGCCATTCAATATGGTGAAATTCAGCACGAGTTGGACAGAATGTCGTCAAAGCATGAACCGAAGGTGAGTGCATTTGTACTGACATTCTGTCCAACGAGTATTCTATACTTAAGGAATAAATGGCCTATCATTATTTATTGTGATTCAAACATAAGAAAACCTTCAGTGAATTGGGGATTTAGGTCAATGAAATAACCAAACTTGCCGTTCTTTTCGCCATTCCCATGTGTGACGTCATAATACAACACAATACATCTACATAGATTCCTAGAAGCAGATTGAATAGAGCACGGTCATGCATCTATGGAGAAATAATGAATGTTCATTATTGACTATGCGGTATTCTGATTTGTTTAGAAATTCAAATAGTGCACGGTCATGTTTGAATTAGGGTTAATCAGCTCAAAATGCTAGCACCATCTGAATTTGACCAGAATGCCTTTGACTCTTTCTCAATGAAACCCCTGCAATGTGAACACTTTTTAGTCCCATCTTTTAATCTGCCACAGACTTCCATGTTAAAAAGCCTCAAAATGTGAACCCCTGTCATTAGAAAGATTTTACTGTATAGACCAACGAACAGGGAGTATTTTTGTCGATATACTCTAATGATGGCGTCACAATCATGCAAATGCTTAAAACGTAACACAGCATCAAGTCTTTCAAGACTGAGATACAAACTGCTCTCTCGTGTTTTACAGTTAATATGCTCTTCTTAGTACCCTGAGCACAGAAGTCAGTTCTAAAGCAACCTCTGAATACTTCTGGTCGCTGTCAAAGTCCAGGTCATAAATTAATTCAGACCAATCAGGTTGAGACCAATCAACCAACAAAAAGAAACAAATCTAAATAATGTTTAAAATATTGGCCACTACTGGGTAGACAGTGACTTAGGAGGAAAATCATCCTCCTTTTGTGAACAAGCTATAGTTGAACAGGCAAGTTCAAAAGTTTCTCTTAAATTAAAAAAAGTTTAAAAAGCTGACTCTAAATGAATACAAGGGATAGATACCAACTGCTCTTCTGAGAATTACAGTTAGAGTGCTCTTCTTGGAAACCATATCAGTAATTCCCAGTATATTATGCTTATGGTGTAGGTGGAAAAGTTTATTCTTTACAAAGTGCCAAGTTGCCATATCAATCACCAAAGGTAAACAAAAGCAGCCATGGTACCTGTTAATGTATTTCAAAACATCTCAAACATACTGTACTTCTATTTAATTTGGTGGCTGTTTTAATTTGGTAGATCTGCAAAATTGTTAAAATCCACCAAATTAAGTAGCCCCCAAATTCCCCAGTAAATTTAGTACCATGTAAATTAGTTCTATCAGTACTTAATTTGGTGTCCATTTCAATTTGGCGGATAATACACAAAATTGTGTCAATGTCACAAAAATTTCACAAAAAGTCTGGTAAATATAGTAGCCACCAAATGTAAAAACAGCGAATCCACCAATATTGAAAAGCGCAAAATGAAGTAGAAGTATAGTAAAAGGAAACAGTGAAACCTGTAATGTGGAACACCTCTGTTAGTTGAACACTTTTCAGAGTTCAAAGACTAACTGACTTAATGATAAATGAACCTCTGTAAGTGGAACACATCCAAAGTGGAACACTTTTTAGAGGTACCAAAGGTGTTCAACTTAGACAGGTTTAACTGTATCCTTATGAAAAGAATGTAAAGACTGAATGTAAATAACGTTCTAAATACAAGAAATAAATATTCAATTTTGATGCATTTAGAATCTAAATAAATCCAAAAAGTAGCTGTGGTGATACTGAATGAGATTTTCATTATAAAATGAATGCAAGGTACTTATGAAAGCATAAAAGTCAGTAGTAATATATTTTGATTGATTAGCTTGATTTTCATTGACCATATTCTCAGTATTCTGATTGGTTAAGGCAAGATCAATGGAATACTCTTACTCAGAGTGTAGATGAAGCTCTCTTTTGAATGTCAGAGCATAGTACATTACCTCAAATAATTGAAAAGGGTTACCTTTCACTTAATTAGTCTGCAAATATATACATCCTTGATTCTGGCCTTTGTTTACATTATTCAAATACCTTTGAGAACTTTCCTAGAATTCTGTTCACCAGGAGGATGTTTAAAAAATAAGTTTCTTGTTATTTCCCACCTAGAAAGGTGACAGGTAATTACAGGTAACTAATGATTGGTAATTAACCTGGTTTACGCAAGCTGCTTTACAGTAAATCGTATTATTGTTTAAACTCTAGAGTTTATTGAAATATGAACGAGCGCAAGTCTCTGTTATATGTGTGGGCGAAAATCAAAGAAATCCATTTCAAGACACTAATCTTTTGTCTTTAATGAATAATATTTATTAATTAAGTTGATAATGCAAGGAAGTTTGTTCATAAGGTAAAGTAGCTTGAGAGGATGGCCAAAGGTATACATTCAATATCATTGTATATTATTCTATCTTAATGGATTGAAACTGAACTGGACATGAGCTGTACTATGTACAGTAAAACCTGTCTAATACGAACACAATTTTGGAATCCTCAAGTCTATGGCTTAGCAGGTGTTCACATTTATAAGATTGTCAATGGGAGTATACAAAATTAGGGACAGGGCAAAAATGTTCACATAGAGGTGTTTGCAATTAGAAAGGTGTTCATAATTAGAGAGGTGTTTGTAATTAGAAAGTTGTTCATTAGTGGAGAGGTGTTCCTAATAAGAGAGGTATTCGTAATTAGAGAGGTGTTCATAATTCGAGAAGTATTTGTAATTAGAGAGGTGTTCGTAATTAGAGGGGTGTTCATAATTAGAGAGATGTTCGTAATTAGTGAGGTGTTTGTAATTAGAGATGTGTTCAGAGATACAGGTTTTACTGTACATGCTTGGCTATGTTGGTCACCTTTAAAATTGTCTTTACTGTTTAAAGGTTTATCTTAGAACTAACCTCTCCTATGCTCATTCAATTACTTGATCAGTTAATTCTACAGTTAATTGTACTGACTAGTTGAATGACCATTTATTCCATAATAACATGTTTTCCCTGGGAAATAAACTGGAAATAAAACTGATATTCGAAAAATCCTGTATCAGCCAAAATCCTATATCAGATCCCGTATTAGATCCAATATCAGCCAAAATCCTGTATCAGATACCGTATCAGAATTATCAGAAAATTTCATGAGACTTCATGAGGCATATTATGATCCATTTTAGTATTATAAATTATTTCTATTTTAAAACTTGTTAATAAAAGTTGTAAATGTCATTTGTTAAATTAAATGATATCATTTAATGTCACAATCATATTCTACCTCAAAATAAAGTTCATATTTCTTCCCTCCCATTAAATAACCTCTATTCATATAATTACATATCAATATTACATTAATCTTAAGTTTCATTCTTAAACATATTTCAAAAGGATAAAGTGAACACTGTTAATTGTATAATAATGTGAAAATAACTTAACATAATAAAAGAGATGGAGAAGAAAAGTGGAAAGTAAAAATTTCATTATAGTTTAAACAAGGATATATGATTCTTTGTTGCGATTTCTAAAGATATTCAGTTTAATCCTATTGCATTTATTATAATGCTCTTTATATAATAGGCATTCGAATTTAAGTGCAACCCGAACGACCAATACACTGGTATATGGCTTTAGAATATTTTGACAATTTGTTGATCAGCAGACAGATAAGTGAATCACTTTAAGCTTTTAAATTTACTGACAAAAAACTGGTAGAGCAGGAATGAATTTGAAGAAAGTCAAAATTGTCGCATTGGGAATTTTGCTTTCCTTCATCTTATACCTGTATGTATATCTGAGTTCATACATCACACAGACTGATAAGAAAATAAAGGAACTTGAAGAACAGAATGAGAAAAAACTGGATAAAAACAAACATCGGGGCATTCTACAAGAATGGATGAAGAAGAATTTATCGCATCATGATCAGATGAAAGGGATATTTTATCTCAAAGTTAACAAAGCAGCAAGCAATACACTTCAAATTATGTTTAACAAATATGCTGATAAACACAACCAAATTGTTGGAATGCCCTGTAGTAATAATGGCGACGAGAGACACTTGGTAGGGTGGCCCGAACCATTTGAACCAGAACATTTAATCCCTCTGAGGAAGGATTTATTCAGATATTGGGAACATCTAAATGAGCACGTTAAATACAGTTCAAAAATCAAACAAGTTATGGCCCCAGGGAGTGTATTTGTCGCATCAATCCGGGAACCATTTTCACACTTCTATTCATATTTTAACTTTTATAGCATGGAAAACACCTATAGAAAATATCTTAAACCACCTAATAAATTCAAATATTTTCTAGATAATGTTAAAACTATGCCGCATCTTGAACTTATACATCACATGCCTCCAAGTAACCCAATTGCAGAATGTTTTGGAATCAGACGAGCGTTGCAATATAACATCACAGTGATAGAAGAAAAAATCAACGAGATTGAAAAAGAGTTTGATATTGTGATGGTCGTTGAGTATTTGGAGGAAAGTCTGATCTTGTTGACTGAATTGTCAGATTTAACAATCGAAGATGTAGTCATTCTCAAAAGCAACAATGTAAGGAACCTTAACAAATCCAAGCCAATATTAACTCCTAATGAATATGAGAACCTCATCCAATGGAACTTAGCCGACTCAATGATATACAATCATTTTAACAAAACTCTATGGGAAAAGATCAACAAATTTGGCCGTCACAACATGGCTTCAAAAATGGAAGAACTAAATGAAGCTAAATCATTACAGAAGAATAATAATGAAGAAGATTTAGGAAAAAGAAAACATGAACAAAAGATGCAAAACATATATTATGCTGATAATTATTTCAGGAGAAAGATGACTTTGAATGGAGTTTATGATCTTAAAAAGGCTAATAGAACCTGTAGATATCCTCCTGGCAGATATGGGCAATAACATGAAAATGTGAACATCAAAAATTGATTCATTTACATCAGACAATCTGTGTTACTGTATTAATGTGTGTACTCCGAAGAAAATATTTAGCTAGTGGTATTGTAATACTACTGTACATAATCTGTTTTAGAGGTATCTTAAGTAAACATGCTGTGAGTTGATGTTTCCTTGTTACTATCAATTAATTTCACCAAAAAGGAACAGTAGGGAACGTCACAAACATGGGGATTCCTAAGAGGAAGTAAAATGTTTAATTCTGTTGTAATCCATATTTTAATTTCTGAATATTAGATATCTGATCAAATAGTACTATGGAAGTAATTGTAGATTTAAGCTACATGTAGCAGAGAATTTTTCATTTTTGCGACCTTTTGACATTTAACTACATACCATACAACTTTAGATGCTCAACTTAGTAAAATTATATTAGTCTGCTGAGAGATCATTTCTACACATTTTAAAACAATTTTCGTGTAAATTTTACTGAAAAATTTTGTGACGGTTTTTCTCATCACTCTGGGTTTCACTGTCATTTCTGAGGTGACGAGAAATCTCGTCATTCCAGGTAGTCAAAAGGTTAAAATCAACAAGCAGAGCATATTGTCACAATATCCTCCGCATATTGGTTTTCCGGAGAATTTCGTGGCAAATTCCTTGTTTATTCATTTTCCAAATAGATATCAAATTTATTTTTTAATGTTATTATACATTAAGTGACTAAGTGTAGGACAAAAAGTATATTTTATGTGTCGGGTACCATACTGTGTTGTAGTGTGCACTGATGTTCACTAGTCACCAAAATATACTTGAAAACAGAAACTCCATGGAGTCAGCAAATACCACAGAATAAAACATGTTTTAATAAATACCTCGTCATTTTCGACATTATGATTTTCCTGATTTTCAAGTAGGTGCAAATGGTTTTTCAGGTGGGTGCAAGCCTATTTTCAAAATCTCAAGTGGTTGCTGCGCCCACTTGCTTTAATGCTGGGGAGATCACTGAGTCAAATACAACTTAACCAAACTGAAATTAATTTCACTGTTGAATGCTATACGTTCAACAACTGATGTCATTCAATCATTCAGATAATATCTCAGCATAATATTCGTTAATGAAATACTGTTTGTACACGGCTACCTGCATCGAATATATTTCCTTATAAATTGCATGATTAGACCAAAAATATGGCTCCCGGGGGAAATTACATTTTTCTTTTTTGAGTGATAATTTTCGTTCTGATTCATATCTTACTCGATGTCAGCGTAACTCAAATGGGATTATCTGGATATGTATGATGTATGACCATTTATGATGTAACTAACCTATAAAATGTAGATTTCAATTGAGGAGTAATGATTTCTAGCCAGGTTTTATTCGTATTGGGACCGCCATTAATCACAAACTTCTGATAAGGCAAATTTCCGCAAAAAGCACAACTGGTGAAAATAAATCCATCGGGAATAACAAATAAAGTTGATTATGTTTTACCTTTTGAATATCAGAGCATTTCTCATTTTTAGCTTGCTTTTGCCATATTTCCATCTTAATATACAATATTTGATATTCGTTTGGTAATATTTCTGAACATTACACATTTAAATACATATTTCGTGTAAACTGAACAAATTTCATTGTTAAGCTTAATCAATTACTAAATTACTAAAAAATTACTAAATTACTAAAAATTGCTAAATTACTAAAATAACTAAATTACAAAAAAATCTATATTTCTGAAAAATTCTAAATTACTATTCAAGGGGTTCAATCCCAAAAGACAAAATAATCTTAATAAATGTGCAATTGAAGAGGTATAACATTCTCAACTCACTGAATTACTGAAGCAGGTCAGAATTAGCAAGTAAAGATGTTCTAACATGGTAGCCAAGGTATGCAGTCTGTATTACATAACACATAGACGAATGATACCAAACGCTCATATATTAGCCCAGAACAAACAAACAGCAATTTAGAAAATTAAAGGAATGGAATGTTACGAGGAAGGCGGTGTATAAATAACAATCTAACTTCAAATAAATCAAAGCACTATACCATTTGCTTCATCATCAAAGATTTATACGAAAACGTGATGCTAATGTTAACGATAACGTAACTTCCTCATTGCAATTAATAGTAAGGTAGACTGTATAATAGATCAAAAGAACTTGCTTTGTATTGAATGGATAAAATGTGCATTTTTAGTATTAATAAATAAATAATACAAAGCACCATTAGTTCTATTTGTTATATAACAAATCAGCCCTAGATGTGACACAAAATGAAAATGTTTTTATTCATTTATTTCTTATTGATTTATTTATTGGAATGACTTTTAAAACAGTGGTACATACATAGGGGCTATGTGCTGGGAGGTTTTGGATTTTGGATACAAGGTTTATCCCAAGGGAAATATGTGTATTTCCTGAGGGACCGCAGGGATATACACATGTATTTAAAGTTACGATTTGAGTTTTACTTTGACAATATAATGTTCCCTACCATCACATATAATGTACATGTTGATAAATGCTTGATAGTGTAAATAACTAACTTAAAGACCCTCATCAATGGCAGCACCATAAAATCCAATCTATCTTACCATATACCATTTTCTTAAAGGCCTTAAAGGCAGCTACATGTAATCTGTTAGATTCAATATCTGGATGAATGTCAACATAAAATAGGATTATATTGTTCTCGTAAAATTCCAAATAAAAATACACTTTTCAAAGCAATGTTGGAGGTTTTTAACACAAAATTAATTCCAAATACAGATGTTAATCCTAATATTTGCTCAGAAAAGTGTACACATCAAGTTGTTGAACTTATATATTAATTGAATAATGCATAACCTTTTAACTGGTATCGCCCAATTATTTTAAGTTTATTCCAAACTTTGCAAAAATTTATAAACATAGGCAAAACCTTCAAATATTGCATCAATAATAGTCATTTCAACAATTGTCATTTCCAAAATGACAATTACCAAAAAGACTTAAAATCATTTCAACACAACAGTACTTTCATCTCTTGGATATCCAAGGTATAAAGTTTGAAAATAAAACTGGTGAGAGAGGATGGCATTTCAAAAATTTCTCCAGTCTTTAAATGAGTCTTTAGAAAGTCTTTAACAAGCCGCAACTAATCCGATAGCAGTTATTATAACTACCCTAACGCAGTTTTACTTCAGTTGAACATTTATTAATTTGATAAAGCAGTTGTGTGAGATTATGCCTATAATCTAACAGTTTTAGTAAACCTATCAGTAAAATGTGTTACACTGATAAATTACTAATTGAATGTCTTTACTTATGTTGTAATGCAGCTAAATTACTTAAATTCAATAATCATTCTTGAGAATTAGAATTATTATTGCAGTGTCGCTGTATTAATTTCTGTAAGTTTCATTTTATGTACATATACTAACATGCAATGAGAGAATTTACAATCAGTGATTCTGGTACAGCACTTAGATTATCAAAGAAATATATCACTTAATTTTTGTAAAAGTGCAAGTCTCATGGAAAAAGGTCTTCCAAGTGATCAGGCATCATTAAAAAGCCAGATAAATTCCCAGCACACACTTAAGATTTTGGAGAGCCTTGCACCCAGTTGATATTTTGAAAAGAGGCTTGTACCCACTTAAAAATTTGGAAAAAAGGCTTGCACCCAGGTAAGATTGTGAAAGAGCCTTGCGCCCAGTTGAGATATTGAAGAGGCTTGTGCCTAATTATATATTCAGAACTACTTGAACATGACAAAAACATGAAAATAAGCCTCTCTGACCAATTTTATTCAGGACTGGGAAAATGAGAACTCTGCACCTTATATAAATTGACTAAAATTGCTTTCCAAATAAAAAAAAACATGAAGAATTATTTGCAATGAGAAAACAAATGATTGCAACACATGCTAAATTAATAAAAATGCTCCAAAAGAAAAATAATAGCCAAAATACTCAATCTTGACCCATTAACCAAATGGAAATAGCATTACAATGTATTTATTGTATTGTCGACCCTATTGTATAAGTCATGGTAATTAAGCCTGTAATACTTAAAATGATTAAATGAACCCCTGAAACATATTCTATCACATAAAAAAAAACAAAATGATATGAGAAACATAATGTTAAAAAGCTATGCTTCACATTCATGAACTATTCATGATGTAAATACTATATTGTTTACTCAGAACATGTTATAAGTGCAGAACGCCTTTGAAGTTGAATGTCAGAATTCTGACTATTTTCCCACGTATGTTTGATTTGATGAATTAGTATTCTATATTAGAGATATTGACTTACAGAAAAAACAGTAACTCATTTAGACATCTTAATGTTATTTTAAAACATATACAACAAATGGTATTTAAGAAGTAATGATAATGATAAGTGGTAACGTTTGAACTCATAATAAATCAACGAATTCTAAATAATTATGAATGAAATTACCTCAATTGTAAGTATGCCCAACCACTAAAAAGTACACAAACACATAAACCTAGAAACAAATTGTGCATAACTATGAACGACCCTGAAATACATTGATTGCATCGTATAATGATAAAATATCATATTCATAGCCAGTGTAATCTGAAAATACATAGCAAATTACGAAGAATGAAATAAAGAAAGAATGAAATATACATTATAATACATAAGAAATGAGTGGAATGTCTGACATTTTTCTCAAAAGATGAATTGCGTTACAAAGGCCTCATTAATAAATTACCTGAGAAAAATCTGGTGAATTTCCAGCTCACGATCTGCACTCAAAATAAACGAAAATAGCTTAACAATCCAGGATGTTCCTCGTAAAGCAAATTTTTTACAACTTCTCTATACATTAAATGAACCATAAAGTTATTTACTAATGTCTGCTAAAACGGCAACAACACTGGTAACCTAGACATTCATATTCATTATCTTGAAATAACGAGCGAGATCCAACAGTAGATAAAACTAGAGAAGATACTAAAAGAAGAATTAGGAGATCTGAAACTTAATTGGATTCTTTTTCAATTAAAATCGAAAGCTTCTGAAATATCATATATTTCGCGATCAGCTGAATGGTAAGTGGCAGTTTTAAAAAATATTAGACTTTTGGAGTTATATTTATTTAGCTAAACAAAGTAGTTGAATAGACGAACCAATGTTCATTGCATAAAGAGTTTTTTTGTATGAATTTATTAACTTCACAAAGAACAATTAGAAAAAAGATTACAGGTTTGGGTAGTTGGGCAACAGCATTAACAGCTACATTTATAAAAAAATGTTTTAAAATATCAAAGAGGAAAAATTAAGACATAACTTTTCCAAAAATGTTATTTTGTTCTTTCGAAATGTTGTTGTCCATTGTGCTTAAGCATTCTCACATTGCACTATCTGGGAAAACATGATTTGTTTGGAAAACAATGATTTATTTCCTTGACCACTTAAACTCAAATTTCTTTCACCACCACTTAATCTCTAATGTCTTTAATTTTTTGACCACTGTGAACAAAACATTTCCACTGTGTCTCTCCCAAGGTGCACATGTGCTAAAGAAAACAATCTCTCTCGAAATATGTATTGTTAGAAAATAAACGATGCTCTCTTGCCCTCAATCTAACCACTTAATATCTATTACAGGAAACATATTTTTATAGACTACGATAAGCTGGCAACCACATTTCATACTTCTAGGACACATTTATGTATAACTTTAAAGTCATTTACAATTTTACTTTTGTTGGAGCATCAAAAATGACCAACCAAATAAAGGTGCATATAATGTTTATATACATATAAAAGTCTGATATCCTCCTTTAAAAATCAATTTTCTTTGGTAAAACAACAATACATATTTGGTAAAACTACAATATATATTTGGTAAAACTACAATAAATATATGCTAAAATTACAATATGTATTTGGAAAAACTACAATATATATTTGGTAAAACTACAATATATATTTGGTAAAACTACAATATATATTTGGTAAAACTATAAAAAATATATGCTAAAACTACAATATATATTTGGTCAAACTACAATATATATTTGATAAACTACAATATACCGGTATAGGCCAGTGATTTAATCTCTCCATGTGGAGTCAATTAACAATTCAATTAACAAATTCTCAAATAAATTGAAAACTTGTGTTTACATCAATTATCAATATAGTCCCATCTTTGAATTCATTATTTGTTACTTTATGTTTTTTTACGTTTATGCTACACTCTAAATGCTAAAAGCCAATTTACAAGACATAATCTAAGTGGAAAAAAACACAACAACTTTCTTGAAATATCTTTTACGCTTACTTGCCACTTATGTTTCTCTAGAACTTGCTGAGAACACCAATGATAACTTTTTATTTTCAGATTTATATTTTTAAAGAGGTTAACCTGACAAATATTAGTAAATATTTATGTAATGTTTCTAATTAGTAAAGAAGTGAGATAAGCATGTTTAAGTTGCATGAAATAAACTTCTCTAAATGCTCATCATAGTAGTAGCATCTGTCTTAGAGTACACTCCCCTCCATAAGTATGAAATAAACTTCTCTAAATGCTCATCATAGTAGTAGCATCTGTCTTAGAGTACACTCCCCTCCATAAGTATGAAATAAACTTTTCTAAATGCTCATCATAGTAGTAGCATCTGTCTTAGAGTACACTCCCCTCCATAAGTATGAAATAAACTTTTCTAAATGCTCATCATAGTAGTAGCATCTGTCTTAGAGTACACTCCCCTCCATAAGTATGAAATAAACTTTTCTAAATGCTCATCATAGTAGTAGCATCTGTCTTAGAGTACACTCCCCTCCATAAGTATGAAATAAACTTTTCTAAATGCTCATCATAGTAGTAGCATCTGTCTTAGAGTACACTCCCCTCCATAAGTATGAAATAAACTTTTCTAAATGCTCATCATAGTAGTAGCATCTGTCTTAGAGTACACTCCCCTCCATAAGTATGAAATAAACTTCTCTAAATGCTCATCATAGTAGTAGCATCTGTCATAGAGTACACCCCCCTCTTTAAGTTTGGTAACAGGAAGTCCCCATTTGGATCACTTATCAAATTCAAAAATTGGGGATAAAAAAATTCATCAAATGTTCCATTTTCTGAAGTAGTCTACTTGAGAAACAAAA